CTCGAGCAGCGACTGTACGAATCTCAGGCACTGGATCCAAAAGTGACTTTTGCAATCCAGGTACCAGATCACACAGGTACGGTTCCATGTCCTGAACCAGCAGGACTTTTGAATCAATCAAGGATCATAGTTGACACTCACCTTATTCTCAGTCAATGAATATATGCTCGCTATGATTTGCGCCGCAACCTTTCTAGTTTCACTATTCCTGTCTTCGAATGCTCGTCGTACTATCGGCATTATAAGAGCTAGGGAAGGTGCATCGATGTAGTGAATGAATTTAGTGTTGAGTACAGCCTGAAGATGAAGAATTGTTCAAAGCATTGGAAACAGAGCCAAAAAAAGTACCTGTAAGGCATAATTAGTTTTGCTTGCAGGATCAAGAAGTCCGGACATCAACTGATTGCTAACTCCCAAGATTTCCGGATTTCTGATGACACTAGCGATTTGCCTCAGTGCCTTTTCACCACTTCGTTGAACCTAAAGAAGATCTTTTGCAAAATACAATATTTTGAAAGGCTTGATATCAGCTTCCACTTTTAGAAAGAGTAGCCCCTTTGTTCGTACACACCTTGGATGATGAATCAGCCAAAACTTCGATGAGCTTGGGGACGATGTTCGGTAAGCACGCCGACAACTGCCTCGGTGCACAAAAGGCCATCGAACCAAGTAGTTCAGCCTAAAAAAAGTTGGCTAATCGAAGTATACCATTCGTACTACCATGGTACTTACCGCCGCACACTTTGTTCGCCAAGACTCATCATCTAACGCTGTAAGCAACGAAGGTAACACAAGTTTTGTTCCATGCGGAGACATTGATGACATCATTGCTACAGCGGTATCCTAGAAGAAAAGACATGAACACGTCTCAAAAGAAATCAATCAAATCGTACCTCAGCTGCCTTTCTAACGTTCTCATCACTATCCCCAAAACAAAGCAGAAGAGAAGGCAATGTCTGGATCATGTAGGGTTCAAACAGCTTTCCAACGGTACTGGAATGATACAAAGCTAGTTTACAAGATGTAAAGAAAGATAAAATTTTGAGGCACATACCTACACAGGATCTCTAGTGCTAACAGTCCACCCTCGCGGTGCTTAACGTTCTTCTTCTCGAGAAGCGCTTTGTGAATCGCTGGCAGTAGTTCTAATTCCTAAAAAATAATAAACATATAAGTTGAGTGAACCATATACAACAAAGTGAATCAAATTTTGGCCCGATAGGGGAAATGGAAAGTTTATGGCAGTTTGAACTACACCTTGAGTGAAGCCACCCCCAGGCCTTTGACAATTCCACCGATACCATAAGCAGCTCCTCTTCGTTCACCATAAGATTCAGCTTCGAACAACAGCCATTGCAGTTTCTGTACCAACGATTTCACCGTATCCTTGATAGCAGGAACAAGCGGTGACAAACAACGCGAAACTGATTCTTGAACCTCAAATAGTTCGCGAATTATTTGTGAAGATGCACACAACAGCGCCAAAAACTCACCGCTTGGCTGGGAGTCGACAGTGCTTCCATGAGACGTGCAACGATGGCTCGCACCTTATCCGAAGATGGATCTAGATATTGAGCCAAGGTTCCAAGTAGTACAACAAGCCCTTGACGTAGATTATCGTGCTCGCCTCCACTTGGAGTAGCATCAGAAAGATTTTCTGAAAACAAAACATTATAAACCACCTTTCATTCGGAAAACAAAGATGTACCCAAAAATGGCAGCAGTTCAGGCATAATATCCTTTCCGTGCTTACGAATAACTTCCACCGCAGCGTTACGCATCCCATTACGGCACTCCGCGCTGCGGTCGGCCAGTCCATGAGGAGCAATCTATACTTATGAGAGAGTATAAACTTTTCAGATAGGATAAGAAACGTAATGAGCTCTCGAATGTGGAAAAT